CTGCTCCTCGCGGTGGTCCGCGGCCCATGGGCAGGGACGGTGGGAGCCGGGTGCGCAGCGGCCCTGCCGCGGGGCACGGGAGATTCAGGAGACACCGCCCGGCCGGCGCATCCCGCCCGCTCCCTGAGAGCGCTCGCCGCCGCAGTGCACGCCGGGAGCCGTTGGCGGCCGGGCTGGTCCTCCTCGCACCCGAGGTTGTCTAAGGGGAGGATGCGGCGGCGCCGACGCGGCGGCGGTCTGCTGGCGAGGGGAGGGCCGGGCCGATCGATGCTCTCTCTGCAGAGGGGAAGGGGGCGACGCCCCGCTCCCTGCCGACTGCGGCAGGGCAGAGGCGAGGGCGACGAGGAGGAGGAGGAGGAGAACGAGGAGGAGGAGGGAAAGACGGAGGGATGTTAGTCAGTCACACGCAAGCGCACTGCTCAGGTGCGGCCGCACTGCGGTTGCCCTTGGTAACCAGGGCGGGGTGGGGCGGGGACAACGGAGAGGCGGAGCGGCCGGAGCCGCGGGGACGCGCGTGAGTGCGTGCGTGCGTGCGTGGGACGGGAGGACGGGGGGGGCGGGGCCTTGGAGCCGCTAGGCACGCATGCGTGCCGCGCCCCTCCTTGTCTCCCCGCCCCTCCCCGGGCGGGGAGGGGAGGCCACAGGGGGAGGGGGGGGTAGGTAGCGGGCCGGCCTCGCGCGTGCGCAGGCGCGCCGTCTCCGCCCCCCTCCCCTCCCCCGGAGGCGTCTGGGTGTGCGGACCGCGCGCGCGCGCGAGTCTCGGAGGCGCACCTGTGAGGTGTCCCCCCCCCCCGCCCCCGGGGAGAGGGCCGGTGGGCGCGCGCGCGCGCGGAGTCGCACTCGGGAGGGAGTTGGACCCGGCCGACGGTAGTGTGTCTGTCTGTCTGTCTGTCGGGCTTGGCTTTTCAGGACGGGGCGTGGGCCGCCGAGCGGGCTAGGGGCGGAAGGCGATGGAGTCGGGGGTGGAGAAGAGGAAAACAACCCATCGCTCCGCCGGGCCTGGGCCGCGCGGGCACGGCGAGGAGGAGGGAAGGTCAGCGCGGCGCCCGCTGCGGCCCAGGCCCGGGGCGAAGC